ATCCCAGGACCCTGGGATCATGACCTGAGCCGAAGGCAGACGCTTAACCGACTGAGCCACCCAGGCGCCCCTGTCTCCATGTTTTTAAGTGTGTCAATAGCCAGGGTAATTAGACTACGTAGCTGTAAATACTGCAGGGCTGGGACCTGAGCCCAGTCTGTCGGACTGCAAACCCATGCTCTGCTGGAGGAGGCCTCTGGCGTCCTGCAGAAGATCTGTAGGCTGAGTATTACTGTCTTAAAACAATGGTCCTTGGGAAGAGGACCACATAACGCTTTTTGGAATAAGATAAAACAAAGCTGTATAAAGTATAATTGTTTAGTTTCATTACCCAGTCTTTTGCCTAAAGTATTCACAGTTTGTACTCTGAGAAATGTACCAAGAGTGACGAAGATTTCCAGATGAAAAGCTATACATTCTTTAGCACTGAATGAATCTAAAAGATCATACACTTGTTCATTAATATGCCCTGCCTTTAGCTGTAACCCTTAAGATTCTCTGTATGTCCATTTCAAGAGGTTTTTAAAGATACCAGCTCCTACTTTTTTCTTGTATGTTTCATAGACTTTTCTTTGAATGCCTCACAGCTCCTCCCACCTAGTTAAGTCTTCCTTACACCTGGTCTTTACATTTAGTCCTTAAAAGAGAAAGTCTTTGGTTTTAAAATATTTGAAAAAAAATTTTTTTTTTACTTTGTTTCCTCCTATGACAAACTGTGTGGTTGGCATCTTCTTCTGGGTCATTTAGGGAAGATGACTCTTAGAAGAAACTGACCTGAACTACACTTGAATTCAACATGGAAATAGAAAAAAAAAGGCCACTACATTCTTGTCATCTTCCTCCAAGTTCAGTCAGATTTTAAAAAATACCTGTATGTATTAGATATCCCATTTACTTTGGAACTGTACTAAGAGGAAATCTGCATTGATTAATTCTTTATCCAGTTTAGCAAAAAAAAAAAAAAAATTGGATAAAATGAAGTTTAAGACTCTGAGATTCAACAAACTTTTTTTAAACCCACTGCTTTTCTCACAAGCATTCCCAGCATTTCTTGTTAATCTAAATAGCTTTACAAGTGTTGGTATTAAACTGTAAGGATCCTCTGTTCTCTCCCCTCTAACACTTTGTTTTCTGGGACTTAATCTCACCTTGACATTCTCAAATCATTACCAATTTTTCCTTTTTTTTTTTTAAGATTTTATTTATTTGAGAGAGAAAATGAGTGAAAGAGAGAGCACGAGCGGTGGGAGGGTCAGAGGGGGATGCAGACTCCTTTATGAGCAGGGAGCCCAAGGTGGGACTCGATCCTGGGACTCCAGGATCATGACCTGAGCCGAAGGCAGTCACTTAACCGACTGAGCCACCCAGGTGCCCTGTTACCAATTTTTTCTAATACCAGATTGGTCTCCCTTCCTTAGGTATACATACCTTCCCCAATTTAATGTGTCTGGTTGGACTGAATCTACTATTTGCATGTCATGCCTGTCCCAACTTCCATACTGATCGTGTGGAAAGGCTCAGAAACTTTAGAGAAGCCAGTAGAATTCCCTCTGCTCTAGTAACCTTGACACCACGGAGCAGTTTAGGGTGAGAAAGCACTTGGCCAGGAGATGAAGCATTCCCAAATAGAGTTCCCTTGTATTGAATCCTGAACCACTCCTCTACCATCCCCAAAGTATTAGTTGGTTTAGACATAGATTTTTATGGCATAGTAAGAAACTATGACAATCCAGAGTATAGATTTCAAATCAGTCATAACTGGGATGAGGAGTAGTTTAGATATTCTGGTATAGAAAGATGTGTTGTTAAGGGGAAAAAAGTGAACCACAGAACAATGGTTATGGCACTGTCCTAGTTAAGTTTAAAAAAAGTTTTGTGGTATATAATAATGGGTATGGAAACAGACACATGAAGCTTTTAGCAGGGGTTACCTCTGGGAAAGGGAATGGGCTATGAAGAAAGCCTTTCTTCTCAGAAGAGAGGCTTACACTTTTCTGTAGACTGTATACAGCATTTGGGTCTGGAAATGAACGTGCATCCATTCCTCATTTTAAAAAGTTAACAGATAGGGGCGCCTGGGTGGCTCAGCCATTAAGCGTCTGCCATGGGCTCAGGTCATGATCCCAGGGTCCTGGGATTTGAGTCCCACCCGCATCAGGCTCCCTGCTCAGCGGGAAGCCTGCTTCTCCCTCTCCCACTCCCCCTGCTTGTGTTCCCTCTCTCGCTGTCTCTCTTTCTCTCCCTGTCAAATAAATAAATAAAAAATATTAAAAAAAAAATAAAAAGTTAACAGATAAAGTTCTAATATAGTACTTTGGGATTTCAAGGGAGTGCACTAGTGGCCTATCAGCTGGGCAAACCTGCCAGAAAACCTTGGATTCTTTACCCCCTCATTGTTCCAACCGTGCCCTCTCTGAACATTCTGTGAGAAGGACAGGAGCATTGCTTAACTGTTACATTTTGGTCTTTCTCAGAAAGCAGCATAATTTATAAGATCAATTGAAATTTACACCAGGGACCCTCTTAAAAGCATTGTTTCTGATTTCTGTCTTCTGTCCTTTTAAGCATTGAAATCTCTTGGTTACCTGCCCTCTCAGGGGGAATCGTCTCCCATGGTCCCTGCAGTAATGGGAATGGTATTACTTCAACTCTTTGCCAGTTTAGATTGTGTCCTCTTTTAAAAAGCTGTTTCCAGCTGAGTCCTTGCCTCATGCTCCTACCTATACTCCAGTCACATCCTTTTAAGTCTAACCTCCAAATTTTAAAGACCACCTGACTGTTTTGGGGGAACCAACAACACCTATGGTATTACTTGGTTCAGACATTGCTGTCTTGGTAGTCTGGAGGGAGATCATGTCTGTTGCCTCTCTTCTCTCTTCCCATCCCCCTCCTGCCCTTCCTTTTCTTGTCTCTCCTCTCTATACAGATTAGATTAGATTATTATATGTATGTGTAAAGACTTTCCATCTCCACCAGTCTCCTTTTCTTCAGTTTTCCTCCATGAGCAAATATTTAGAACTTGCTGCAAATCTGTCCCAATAATGGAAGTAACTTCTCTTGCTTCTGATTCCATTGAATTACACATTTTATTTATCTCTATTCCTGAGTGGGTACTCAGTATATGCACATTTAATTATAAATAACCAAATGTTGAGTGGAGAGTGCATACTAGTCTCTATTCCTTGTGTCCATTTGTGCCCCTATGGGCCCTATCTCCAGGTCTTGGCGTGATTTTTTGCTTTCTGTTACCAACCCCACCCTGTCCATTTTCTTCTTCCAGATCCTCCTTTCTAAACCTAACCAGATTTACTCGTTAATGAAGACCAGGTTCTGTCATTAGGTTTTTTGTTCATGAACATACTGTATGGGATGAGAATGGCCATCCATGAATTCCATCCAAAGCACAAGCTTTGTCCATCTTTGTTCTCCCAGTACCGCCATGATGGGGGCACAAGGTGCTTAGTCAGTATTTTTGGACAAAGATAATTGGTGCATCCTTCGTAACTTTGTAGCAGACATGTCCTACAACAAACTGATCATTGTGAAAATGTAACCTTTTGATACATATTTGCCTCTCCCCAAACAGAGTTGCTTACATAGCAGAAAATCTTTGTAACTGCTTCCGTGATTTCTGTAAATTCTCAAGAGTCCCTCCAAATGGGAAATCTATGCAGTTTGGTGATTGCATTCAAGTGAAACACTCTACCTTTTATTCTTCTAGATATCGAGTGGGTGCTATCACATTCATATCATAACTTCTTAAGCAACAAACATCTGTAATTAGATAGTCTATTTGAAACATATTAACTTTGCGCATACATTTAAATTTAAAACGGAGACAGTTCGGTTTTTTTTGAATCCACAAAAGGAGCGCTTGAAACAACTGCACACATTCTTCTAATGTATTTCTGTATGGGCAGAACCACACATATGGTTTAAAAAAAAATCAGTGGTAACTCCTGTTTACATGGGTATGGTTTAGCAATCAACTTTATAATATAATAATAAAAAGGAATTCTTAATTGTCAGTTTTCTTATGCAAAGGTACCTCTTTGTGTTGGAAACCTATAAAAATAACCAAAGATGATTTGCCCTTGTAATCCTAATGCTTACAAAACAAACTAAGAAAGTTTTGAGTAATTAAGTGACCAAGAACTTTGGATTCATTTTTCCTTTCTTCTGTTTTAGAACTGCCACCGGATGATCCTGATTCCCTGTAATTGATAATGTTGGAGATCAGTTCTGCAACATTCTGCCACATTCAGTTGTTAAAAACAAATAGAATGCAAGTTCCTCGACTCCAGATTATGAAAACAGTACTTGGAAAACTGAAAACTATCTAAATGATTGTCTTTGGTTGGGCCGTGTTCTTAGTAAGCAGAAGCCTTGGCCAGGGTCTGCTGTTGACTCTTGAGGAGCACATAGCCCACTTCCTGGGGACTAGAGGTGCCACAGCTACCATGGGTAATTCCTGTATCTGCCGAGATGACAGCGGAGCGGAAGACAGTGTTGACAACCAGCAGCAACAGGCCGAGAACAGTGCAGTACCCACTGCTGACACGAGGAACCAACCCCGGGATCCTGTTCGGCCACCAAGGAGGGGCCGAGGACCCCATGAGCCAAGGAGAAAGAAACAAAATGTAGACGGGCTAGTGCTGGACACACTAGCAGTCATACGGACTCTTGTAGATAAGTAAGTATCTGACTCCCTAGTCACCCCCTATGTGATGAAAAATGTTCTAGAGGAACCATAACTATAGTGTCCTTCACTTCGTTAGAATATATTCAAGCCATGAGCTTATAAGGCAAGGGAGAATATTTTATTTCTCCTCCGATGGCAGAGTAAATTATAAGGTTTGATGTTTTTACTTGCTACATCTACTCCTATCTGGAAATGTCTAAACATTTCGATAGCAGAAAACACTAATTAAAGCTACAATCTTTATTAGGGCATGTAGTAAACATGGAGTGAGTTTGTGTTGCAAGCTGCAATAGGAAATAGTTTCACGAGGACCAACTCTTATCTTGCTTGCCTATCTACGCCACTGACCAGAGATTCAAGATGAGTTATTTTTCCAAGAGCATGGCTGCATGCACTTTCTGTTGGCAACGGAAGGACCTGGGTCAAGGAGAGTATTCATCCTCCTCCCTTTTTGTATCCCTTATTTGGCCATCTCCGATCCTTTTGGGAAGCTTGTAAATTGAAATGGCAGGGCTCCCCTGTACCTTTTTTGTTTCTCCCCCGCTTTGTCTAACTCTAAGTGTGAAATCCCAGATTGAATAACAGTGAAATGGGAGAACATGGTTCAAGTTGAAAAAAAAATTTTTTTTTTTTAAAGATTTTTTATTTATTTATTTGAGAGAGAGAGAATGAGAGACAGAGAGCACGAGAGGGAAGAGGGCAGAGGGAGAAGCAGA